CTGGATCCCTGCACGCGTGCTGCGAAGGAGGTTTTTCTTGGGCCCTTAGGAAGCCCACCCAGGGGATCCCAACGAAGCCCCCTCGCCCCATTTCCCCGCGCAGGCATCCCTGGGGCGCTGTGGGTTCCGCGCGGAAAGAGGTGGGCCATGAAAGGGTTAACGGGCGTGAGGGACGCTTGGATAGAGACCCCCCTGTCCTCCCCTGCTCGTTTTGGGGGGGGCCCTCCGGATGGAGAGATGGGGGGGCGCAGGGTACGGGTGAGCCACACCAAGGGGGGACTTTGGGTTCACGGGAGACTCTGGGACAGAGGGAGGGAGTCGAGGAAGTGGGGAGGGGGAGCATCCCTGGCGCAGCGAAGGGGGGGAGTGCTAGGTAGGCCAGTCTTTGGGGACACGTCTCCATCTTGGCGCTCACGGGGATTCTCTGGAGAGACCACCTTGGCTTCTCCCTCCCACTCAGGAATCGGCCACCCCTTCAAGGCGACCAGAGAGGGATCCCTGGAAAGTGGGGGTCGTGTCCCCACACCCCTTCCTTCCTGCAACCTCTATCCTCTTCCCACCCCATAAGTCCCTGCCCTGTCCAGACTGTTTTAGGAACTGTTGTGTTTCCCCTCCAGCAGATATCACGCACATGCAGCCCACCACCAAAATCAGCACCATCATTTTTGTGACTTTTGTGATTTGTCCCCACAATCATCACAGTTTCTTCCTATCTATTCAAAGGGCCTTTGCTGCACAATACCAAATGTAGGAATTCACTGATAAATCTCTATGTAATGACTCACTGGGAAAACTTCAGGAATTCATATAGACATGTGAGCTCAGCAGCCCCTCTGCCTGAGTGATAATCCCTGGCCTCCTGATACCTGAGTGCCAGACAGGTAGCCATTCCAGAAAGATCCAACCCAGATGAAGACAAAAGGGTGGGATTAACTTGGCTGGGACACAGGTCAGGGAGGACAATGGATGGCCGGCCGGGGGTGGGGCAAAGGCCAAAGAAAAGAGGCCGACCCCTTTGTCCAAGCCTCTTTTGGTTTTCTTCCTTCCAGGATCAGGATCCTCAGGAGCGTGTCCTGGCAGCCGGATTAAGGTAAGTTCTGGCCTGATTGGAAGGGACATGGCCCCTCCACCAGGCTAGGCTGCAATTTTGTGGCTATTCTTTCTGGGCGGGGGCCAGCTAGGTTTTTAGTAGTGGCGGGGGGGGGGGGAGGCATGGCTCCCTCGCCCCCGCCATCCGCCACCCTCCAGCTGTAGGCCGCATGGAAGCCGATTCCTTTCTTGTTGGGGGGGGCATAAGTCAGGCCACGTGGCGGTCATATTTTTTTGCACTCCCCCCCCCTCGTTCTGCTCTGCCTACTGACGCACTTCTGCTCCTAGCAGTGAAATGTAAATGTCTCTTTTGTTACACTTGATGGGTATTTGGTGGAGGGCAAGGGGGACCATGGGGCAGGGTCCAGGATGCTCAGATTACTGCCACCAGACCTCCTCTTTCATGATGTAACCATGATGTAGTTTAGGGGGGTGTAACATTGGGATTAGCAGTGAAATAAATAAATTAAGGTCTTATGTATATAATGAAGGTTCATAAATGTACCAGGCAAACATGTACATAGATATATAGGCCCCATGTCTGAACCTGCACAGGAGAGCAGCCATGGAGCCATTTTGACTCCCAGGCTGACCAGGTGTTTTCTCTGCAAGGTCAAATGGAGCAGCCTCCCTATTGCCTCTTCCTTCACAAATCCTGTCTTAAGGGTATATCTGTGTATGAATAGGGTGTGAGCCTGTGATCTGGCTCAGGAACTAAGTACTTTTCATTACAAAAGACTGGCCAGGCTCCCCAGGGTATCAATCAAGTAAGCATTAGCAGGTAACTTGCCAGACAGGGGGTAAACAACCCCCTCAGATTTCTGCTTTAGCCCACCCTTTCTGTGAAGTAGTTATGATGTTTCTGGGGGTGGTCTTGGACTCCAAGGTGGGCAATTTAAAATGTCTATATAAGGGCAGACACACCTTGGTTCAGGGTCCTCCTCCTGTGTGTGAAGGGGGAACTCTGTAGCAACAGTTCAATAAAGATCAGGCTTACAAGCTGCTTTGCTTCTCAATATTCTCTGGTTGACCTCTGTTTTTTCCTCTGACCGATGGAGAACCTACAAAGGACTCTATGAGGGCTCTTGTGTCCCCCATAAGGGAATAATGGCAGATTTTCGTTTATTGTAGCAGCTAATAAAGTTTGGGTTCTCTTTTGTTTGTGGCTTCCATCTTGTTCCACCTTGTGGCAGGTGGGAGTCCTGTCACGACAGTCTTCAATAAAGACCAAGCCTACTGGCTGCTGTTTTGCTCTGGTATTCCTGGCTGGTGTCCTTGTTTTTTGTCCAGCGGGGCCCTCAGATTTCTCCTTTAATAAGACACAACTTATTTCCTGCAAGCTCCACCCAATTCCCACCCCATAAGCCCCTGGCCTGTCCAAATAATAATAATAATAATAATAATAATAATAATAATAATAATAATAATAATAATTTATATCCTGCCCTTCCCAGCCGAAGGTGGGCTCAGAGCGGCTTACAACAATAAAAGTAACACAGTTTACATAAAATCACAAGCAATTAATTAAAATGCATTCTAAATTCAATTCGTTCTAATATCAATTCAAAATCAAATTAATGGCAGATACAGCGATTCTGCCCAGTCCAACCACTGGTCCCCTGGAGAGGAGAGGAAATTCCAAGAAGAAGAGAGGAGGGGAGAGGCCTTCTCAGAAGCAGCTCTTGGTATCCGCAATCCCACCCAGGAAGCAGCCAGAAACCTTTCCCTCTCTCTCTCAGGCTTCCATCTTTAAGTGTCTTTTCCACTGCCTGGTTCATTGAGGATGAGGAAAATGTACACCTGTCATCAGAAACAGGGGTCCAGAGTCCATGAACGGCTCTCAGGCTTGATATAGAAGTTGCACCTCAAAAGCATTTCTGTTCCTCTTATTCTTTGTAGGCAGTGTCAAAGTGACTGACAAGCTTCTTCCCAGATTCTTCCCAGTCAAAGTGACTGACAAGCTTCTTCCCAGATTCTTCCCAGTCAAAGGACCCATTTTCATGATAGACAGTGTCTGTGGCTGGAGGCTCTACATACAAGGTGTGCCTATACAGGCCAAAAACTGCCAGTATTAGCACAGGTGAGGTGTGTGACCTCCCCTAATTTACAGACTGTATGTGAATGAGAGTTTGTGGGTGGGATTACTGTTTATGGCAGCCCTGTGATTTTCTCCAACCATAACATTTCATGAACTGATATTGCAGTATGAATTCCAAAATAACTACAAAAAAACAACAATATAATAAGAATGATGGTAGTATTTCTACGCTGCCTATCTGGCTGGGTTTCCCCCGCCACTCTGGGCAGCTTACATTACATATAAAAGACAGTAAAACATCAGACATTAAAAACCTCCCAATACAGGGCTGCTTTCAGCTGTCTTATAAATGTCAGATAGTTTCCCATTTCCTTGCCCTCTGCCTGTTTCCCTGTAACTTCGCTTCTCATGGGGGGGGGGTGAACCAGCAGAAGACCCTCGAAGGAGGACCTCAGTGTCCACACTGAGCGATGGGGGTGGAGACGTTCCTTCAGGTCTACATACCTGAGGCTGTTTAGGGCCTTAGGTTGCAGATTTTGCTCCTCCGCAATGATCTCCAGAGCAAGTCCGACATACAATTAGCAGAGTAGGAAAAAATGCTCAGAGACAGCAAAAAATTCCTTCAGCAAATCAATTTGTTACTGAAGGCATAATAGGATTCTATGCCTGAAAAATGCAACCACGGCAATTTAATGGTCAGCACCAACATTGCGAATTGTGGTCAGAAATGTACTGGGAGTCAGTGAAGATCCTTTCAGACAGGTGTTATGTTGTCTCAGCAGCTGCTCCCATTCTGTTCTCTACCAGCCACATTCTGGATTAGTTGCAGTTTCCGGGTCACCTTCAAAGGTAGCCCTGTCAGCATCACCCTTGAGCCAGTGCCACCGACTGGACTCATCCACTTCAGCCCCGACTGGGCCAAGCAAGCTGGGGTAGCACTTCCAGAGACCTTCTGCACAGGAACAGGTCAAAGTGTTGTGGACTCACAACTCAGAGTTGTGAGCACCAGATTCACTCCCGAAGACAGTCGTTGCACAGCAGAGTACAGCAGAGCATAAACCACTCGGAGAACAGCTCTGTAGAATAACTACTTTTATTCTATCTACAACTAGCATACAAACTATATACAGAGCTAAATGGAGAAGCTAGACTGCACTGAGAGTCTGCAGCTGCTCTTAGCAGCAACCTTATCTATACAGAGATAACACACTCTCTTTCTAACACTCAGTCTCTCTCTCTCTCTTGTGAGGCTGGAGCGAAATAAGTGGAGAGCAGAAACCGCCCCCCTCTCTGGAGAATCAGCAGAGAACATCAGCAGATTCTTGGAATGGGAGGGGTGAAATCTCCTCAAGCCCCATGTATCACATGGCAGTAATCCAAGCGGGAGATCACCAGAGCATGCACCACTCTGGGGAGACAGTCTCCAGGCATGGAGGGTCTCAGCTGGCATACCAGATGGAACTGGTAGACAGCTGCCCTGGGCACAGAATTGACCTGTGCCTCCATGGACAGCTGTGAGTCCAAAATGACCCCCAGGTTGTGCACCTAGTCCTTTTGGGGCACAGTTACCTCCATCAGGTCTAGGGAGTCTCCCACACCTGCCTGCCCCCTGTCCCCCTAGGACAGTATTTCTTTCTTATCAAGATTCAACCTCAATCTGTTAGCCGCCATCTATCCTCCAAGTACCTCCAGACACTTACACAGGACCTTCACTGGTTCCAATTTAAAAGAGAGGAAGAGCTGGGCATCATCCACATACTGGGGAACACCCAGCCCAAACCCCCTGATGATCTCTCCCAGCGTCTTCATATAGATATTAAAAAGCATGGGGAGAGGACGGAGCCCTGAGGCACCCCACAAGTGAGAGCTCAGAGGTCTGAACACTCATCCCCCAACACCACTTTCTGGACATGGCTCAGGAGGAAGGAGGGGAACCACTGCATAGCAGGGCCCTCAGCTCCCCTAGAGGGTCTAGAAGGATACCATGGTCAAAGGTCTCCAAAGCCGCTGAGAGATCCAGCAGAACCAGGAAACAGCTTTCCCCTTGGTCTCTAGCCCATCGGAGATCATCAAGCAGCGCAACCAGGGCAGTTTCAGTCCCATGATGAGGCCTGAATCCCAATTGGAAGGATCATGGTGGCAGAAGCTTTCCTGGTCCTGCAGCCCACAAAAGCTCCAGCCACAAGACGTTCATTAGCTTTGAAGGGGCCACTGGATTTGTGGTCTTTTCTTCAAAAGACAAATATTCTGAATACCTTTACAGTGACGTATGATGTAAATAGCGCTTCTGTTTTCCAGAATTCCCCAGCCCACCAAGGATTTGAGACCCATCAGGTATCCTCACCTGGTTTAGCCGGCCAGTTGAAGCCGTTCCTGGGATTGTGGCCCTTTTGAATGCTGACAGCTTCTCTCAGGTGAGAGCTGAGTGCAGGGTGGGGACCAATGGTGGAATAATTACTCCAGAAGGTGGACTACATTTCCTCCACCAAAGGTACTACTGCTCCCCTAACACCCCAAGACATCCTATAATTATGATATTTAAGACAGATCAGGAATAAATTCATATCACAAGAAATAACACAAATTCAGGTTGTTAATGAATCAACACCACATATTCAAGGTTGACGTTTCCACTAAGTACAGTTATCTCCTCGCCTTGAATATCCTGCTTTTCAGTGCCAGATTATGATAGTCCTCTGTCATAAGGCAAGCACAGGATCAGGCACCACATCATCATTATAAAGAACCATTTGGGTCGGTGTTTCCGCCTGGGATTCCCATGTGCCAGCTGCTTTGCTTCTGCTTCTCCTGCTCTCTCCATGCAATGCAAGGCATGTAGACAGAGGTCCATCTCCAAGAACAGGAGCTTCCCGGAGCACCCATTCAGCTGACGCCAAGCACCAAGCCTTGTCACTAGTTCTCTAACTGACCCAGACCACAGTCCCTGGAAGAGATGTAGACCTGGGTCTCACAAAATGGTTCATATGGACCTCCTGAGGCCAATGGGACTGTGCAGGTGACTCATAAAGATCTAGAGGTGGATGGAGGATTATGATGCAGAGAATGGGGAATGTCCAGAGGAACAATGAACCAGAGAAAGAGAGGGCCTTTTCATGGAGAGAGAGTAGCTGCCTTTCCTTTGAGGAAACAATTGATTTGAAAAGGCTGTTTTCCAAGATCATGCTGCTTTATTAATGATGATTGAGGATTATGAAAGGTTGCTGATGCATTACTATCATTTGACATCATTGCATCTTCATTTCCTAAAAACTGGGAACATGGGTAGGAGGCAGGGGAATGTAGGAGAAGCTGAAATAAGAGAAGGTGCTAACGGCGCTTGCTGTGTTCTCTTCCCCTTTCTTCTCTTCATTGAAACCCAAACAGGATTTCCTTTCCTCCCACTTTGAAGAAGGTGATGGAGAAGACATTCAGAATTCTGAGGGATGGGGCACTTTGGTTTCATTAGGTATAGACATTTAAATGTGTGAAATGTGGAATATGCTTCACTGAATGAGCACACATAGCTCACATCAACGACCTCCAACAGGGGAGAAACCATTGAAAGGTATGGAGTGTGGGAAAAGTTTCACTGATAGTGGAAAACTTAGAACACATCAGCGGACTCACATGGGCAAAAAAGAATTCCAATGCAGGGAGCGCGGGAAGAACTTCAGTCAACATGGACACTTAAGTTTACATCAACAGTTTCACACAGGGGAAAAACCTTTTGAATGTCTGGATTGTGGAAAGAGCTTCAATCGGAGTGATATACTTAGAACACATCAGAGGACTCACACAGGGGAGAAATCTTTTAAATGCATGGATTGTGGAAAGAGCTTCAGTCAGAATGGACACTTAAGTTTACATCAACGGACTCACACAGGGGAGAAGCCATTTAAATGTATGGAGTGTGGAAAGAGCTTTAGTGATAATGGATACCTTAGAACACATCAACGGACTCATACAGGGGAGAAACCATATAAATGTATGGAGTGTGGAAAGAGCTTCAGTTTCAATGCAAACCTTAGAACACATCAACAGACTCACACAGGGGAAAAGCCATTTGAATGCCTGGAGTGCGGAAAGTGCTTCAGTCAGAACGAACACCTTAAATCACACAAGCGGATTCACACAGGGGAAAAGCCATTTGAATGCCTGGAGTGCGGAAGGTGCTTCACTCAGAATGGAGATCTTAAAGTACACAAGCGGATTCACACAGGGGAAAAGCCATTTGAATGCCTGGAGTGCGGAAAGTGCTTCAGTCAGAACGAACACCTTAAATCACACAAGCGGATTCACACAGGGGAAAAGCCATTTGAATGCCTGGAGTGCAGAAAGTGCTTCAGTCAGAACGAACACCTTAAATCACACAAGCGGATTCACACAGGGGAAAAGCCATTTGAATGCCTGGAGTGCGGAAAGTGCTTCACTCAGAATGGAGATCTTAAAGTACACAAGCGGATTCACACAGGGGAGAAACCATTTAAATGCCTGGAGTGCGGAAATTGCTTCAGTCGGAATGGAGACCTTAGAAAACATCAACGGACTCACACAGGGGAGAAACCATTTGAATGCCTGGAGTGCGGAAAGTGCTTCAGTCAGAATGGATACCTTAAATTACACAAGCGGATTCACACAGGGGAGAAACCATATAAATGTATGGAGTGTGGAAAGAGCTTCAGTCACAGTGGACACCTCAATATACATCAACGGACTCACACAGGGGAGAAACCATTTAAATGCCTGGAGTGCGGAAAGAACTTTAGTGAGAATGGAAAACTTAGAACACATCAACGGACTCACACAGGAGAGAAACCATATAAATGTATGGAATGTGGAAAGAGCTTCAGTCGGAGTGGACACCTCAATATACATCAATGGACTCACACAGAGGAGAAACCATTGAAATGCCTGGAATGCGGAAAGAGCTTTAGTGGGAATGGAAACCTTAGAACACATCAACGGACTCACACAGGTGAGAAACCATATAAATGTATGGAATGTGGAAAGAGCTTCAGTCGGAGTGGACACCTCAATATACATCAACGGACTCACACAGGGGAGAAACTATTTAAATGCCTGGAGTGCGGAAGGAGCTTTAGTGAGAATGGAAACCTTAGAAGACATCAAAGGACTCACACAGGGGAGAAACCATATAAATGCATGGAGTGCGGAAATTGCTTCAGTCAGAATGGAGACCTTAGAAAACATCAACGGACTCACACAGGGGAGAAACCATTTAAATGCCAGGAGTGCGGAAAGATCTTCAGTTTCGGTGGAAACCTTAGAACACATCAACGAACTCACACAGGGGAGAATCCATATAAATGTATGGAGTGTGGAAAGAGCTTCAGTTTCAATGCAAACCTTAGAAAACATCAACGGACTCACACGGGGGAAAAACCGTATAAATGCATGGAGTGCGGAAAGTGTTTCAGTCAGAGTGGACACCTCAATATACACCAGCGAATTCACACAGGAGAGAAACCATTTAAATGTATGGAGTGCGGAAAGAGCTTTTGTGATAATGGGAACCTTAAAAAACATCAACGGACTCACACAGGGGAGAAACCATTTAAATGCCTGGAGTGCGGAAATTGCTTCAGTCAGAATGGAGACCTTAGAAAACATCAACGGACTCACACAGGGGAATAACCATTTAAATGCATGGAGTGCGGAAAGAGCTTCAGGCAGAATGGACACCTTAGAAAACATCAGGAGACACATGGGAGAAACTGTTTAAATGTATGGACTGTGGAAGGAGCTGCACTCAGAGCGGAACCCTTGTTTTCTGTCAATGAACTCACACAAAAGACAAACTGTATAAATATCAGGAAAGTAGATAGAGGTTCAGTCCTAGTGGAAGTTCTAAATCAACAGACTCATGCACAGGAAGAACTTTAGGAGTTGAAACCCTACAAACCATCAACAAACTCGTAAGAGGAGAAGCAGTATAAATGAAATGATTGCAAAATGTGCTTTATTTACAATGGATTGTTTATTTTTTATATATATATAAATTTTTTATTGGTTTTTCACAATTTTTATAAACACAAACATAACACAATACAAACAAACAAACACATAAACAAACATGTATAATTTCCGATCCTTTTTTCTTAAACCTTACTTCACCGACTTCCCCATACCTCCCCTTTCTGCATCCCAATTGCCAAATTTATTTCCACAAATCCTACCCCTTGTTTTTATCGAATTTTCCCTTATTTTTTTCTTTTACTTAACCTTTTACAGCTGTAATCCCCTTTTGTCTAAAACTTCAACATTTTAACATTCATTTATTTTACAATATTTCTTAAGATAGATTCTAAATTTCTTCCAATCTTCATCCGCCGTCTCTTTCCCCTGGTCTCGGATTCTGCCAGTCATTTCCGCCAGTCCCATATAGTCTATCACCTTCATCTGCCATTCTTCCAGAGTGGGTAGGTCTTGTGTCTTCCAATACTTTGTGATGAGTATTCTTGCTGCTGTTGTAGCGTACATAAAAAAAATTCTGTCTTTCTTTGACACCAATTGGCCGACAATGCCCAAGAGAACGGCTTCTGGTTTCTTAGGGAAAGTACATTTAAGTACCTTTTTCATTTCATTATATATCATTTCCCAAAAAGCCTTAATCTTCGGGCACGTCCACCAGAGGTGGTAGAAAGTACCTTCAGTTTCTTTACATTTCCAACACTTATTATCAGGCAAATGGTAGATTTTTGCTAGCTTGACTGGGGTCATGTACCACCTATAGATCATTTTCATAATATTTTCCTTTAAGGCATTACATGCCGTAAATTTTATACCGGTGGTCCACAACTGTTCCCAGTCAGCAAACATAATGTTATGACCTATGTCCTGTGCCCACTTAATCATAGCTGATTTTACTGTTTCATCTTCTGTATTCCATTTCAACAGCAAGTTATACATTCTTGACAAATTCTTAGCATTAGGTTCTAACAGTTCTGTTTCTAATTTTGATTTTTCCACCTGGAAGACAATTTTCCTGTCCTGTTTGTAAACTTCCATTATTTGATAATAATGGAGCCAGTCTCGTATTTTATCTTTCAATTTCTCCAAACTCTGTAGTTTCAATTTATCTCCCTCCTGTTCCAAAATTTCCCAATATTTTGGCCATTTGGCCTCCATATTAAGCTTTTTCACGGCTTTTGCCTCCATTGGCGACAACCACCTTGGGGTTTTATTATCCAACAGATCTTTATATCTAATCCAAACATTATATAATGCTTTCCTGACAATATGATTTTTAAAAGCTTTGTGAGCTTTAACCTTGTCGTACCATAGATATGCATGCCATCCAAATACGTTGTTAAAACCTTCCAAATCCAAAATATCTGTATTCTCGAGGAGCAGCCAATCTTTCATCCAGCAAAAAGCTGCTGATTCATAGTAAAGTTTAAGGTCCGGCAGGGCAAATACCCCTCTTTCCTTTGCATCCGTTAAAATTTTAAATTTTATTCTGGGTTTTTTGCCCTGCCAGACAAATTTTGAAATGTCTTTCCGCCAACTCTTGAAACAGTCCATCTTATCAACAATCTACAATGCTTGAAATAAAAATAACATTCTAGGCAATACATTCATCTTAATAACAGTGATTCGGCCTAACAAGGAAAGTTTCAAATTTGACCATGTTTCTAGGTCCTTTTTAACTTCTGTCCAGCATTTCTCATAATTATCTTTAAATAAATTCACATTTTTGGATGTCATGTTTAATCCCCAAGTATTTCACCTTCTTAACCACAGTCAACCCTGTTTCATACAATGGATTGTTTAAGGAACATCCAGAGACTCTCACAAGGAAGAACCCATTTAGATGTATGGAGAATGGGACATTTTCCTTTCAGTGTCCACTCTTTCTTCACAGCAATGAACTCATCAGGAAATCAGTCTTAAACACATGACGTGTATTTGAAGTGCTTGTGTATGTATGTAAAACTGAACAGCAACGAAATTTTGAAGGCAATGTCAAACAATGTGAGTATAATCTAAGAGGTAAAGTACCTTTTGATAGAGAGGATGAATCTGGTTTGCTAGTGGTGAGTGAGGATTAGGGCTGGGCGATATATTGATATCTTGTCCAATACCTGTTTCTGGACCACATCGTGATAACCTTTGAAGAACAACTGATATGGCAATACACTGTGAATCACAGTGTGTGTTTCTGGGATGTGCCTGCAAGCAGCGGCAGAAAGCTTTTCTTCGTGACGTCCCTGCAGATACCGAGTTGCTGACTTCCCTCCAAGACTACAAGAAGCGAAAGGCACACCTCCATTGCCCTGTGTCCTTCCAGCCTCTTTCCTCCCTTGCTTCCTTCTGCTGGTGTGTGTGCCTGACTTAGATATCCTGTGTGCTGTATGATTTTACCGCTGAAACTGGATTTGCTCTCAGGAGCTAAGTTTTGTGCCTCACTGGGGACCCAGTGAGAACTGTATGCTTTGAAAGCTCAGTGAACTATTACTGAAGAAGTCTTGCCTGCTGCTTCTGTGTGTGTTTTTGAACTCAGTGTGGGACTTG